CCTGCTTCGGCAGGGGGGTTGGACTAGATGACCCACAGAGGTCCCTTCCAACCCCAAACATTCTGTGATTCTGTGATCCTGTGATTCTGTGACTCGCTCTAATTGCAGTCCCTGGAGCCTCTCATTTCAAAGACCTGGATCACCTTTCTGTGTCAGCTGTACTAAAGGTTGGCCTTCTCAGCCTCCTCTTATTCTAATCTCCAAGATGTTAGGCAATGAGCGAAACATTAACAGAGGCCCAGATTGTCAAGCGTGACCCAGTCCTCTTGTTCTCCTTAGCCTACTGCAGCAGGACTGTGTCTCTCTACTCAGAAACCCACCCCTGCTGCTTATTGAAGAAAACTCTTGAGGTAGCAGCACAGACAGACTTGCCCCTTAGGTAGAGGCACAGCTAGCCCACGACAAAAAAGGGATTGCTAGTCAGAGGCAGTGTGCTCTGAGCAAGCCAAAGGGAGCTCAGTTCCTCACATGTCTGCTGACATTTCTGACCCAAAGTCACTCATCTGTGCAGCCAAGAAACTTAGACAGAAAGGAAGCTCGGACATCAATGGCATTTTGAGCAACAGCCAGATGCTTCAGACCCATTTCAGAGAAATGCTTTTCCAACACAACCCCCGCTGCCACCAGCTACCAGGCAGCATTTTAAGGCACCTATGGCAGCAGTCTCCCCCTAACTACCTCCCTGAACACAGGCACCCCAGGTCTGGAAGCCCCTCCTGGCTTTGGACCTGTTCTTTAGTCACAGAACCAGGGTGATAGGATGTTTGAAGTCAGAAGGTACCTCTGGAGATCACCGAGTGCAACCTCCAGCTCAGAGGAAGGTTAACTAGAGCAGGTTGCTCAGGACTATGTCCAGTCCATGAGTTATCTCCAAAGATAGAGACTCCACAACTGCTCTGGGCAACTTTTTCCAGTGTTTGATCACCTTTATGGTAAATAAAGTTTTTTCTTATGCTTAAATTGAAATTCTGTGTTTCAGGCCCTCTGCCTCTTGTCCTTCACTCAATATCACTAAGAAGACTCTGGCTGTGTCTTTCTTACAGGTATTTATACACATCAGTGAGATGATCCCCTCAAGCCTTCTCCTCTTAAGACTAAACAAGTCCCAGTTCTTGTTGCCTCTCCTCGTATGAGAGATGCTCCAGTATCTTAATCATCTCCACAGGCTGGACCCACTACTCCAATGTGGCCTTGCTAGTGCTGAGGAGAGAGGAAGGATCACCTCCCTCGACCTGCTGGCAACACTGTGCCTAATGCAGCCCGGGATGCAGCCCAAGAGCCTGAGGGTTGCAGCATTCTTGTATGCTTCTTCAACAGTGTGCAGTGAGACAGAGCTCTGGTGTGAAACCAGTGGCTCACCCCTGCACCTGCAAACTCAGGATCTCTTCCCATGAAACATGCTGACTCACGTGATGCCTTTTGAGGGAGGGAATAGGACTATTAGTTGCTAAAAAGGGGAGGGAATAGGACTAAAGTTGCTAAAAAGGAAGATGGCATCCTGGGAATATGAGTGGGAGCAGAAATAATAAAGCCTTTTCCCTTAGTTTTCACACTGCTGCATCTGTGACCAGAGCTTATTACAGTTTCTTCAGCTTCAAGCCCTCACTGCTGCTAAATCTGGTCATTCTCAAGAATCAAGTGATTTAGCAACAGAATTATTTAAACCTGAGAAAACTACAAAAAAGCTGGATTTGTACAGGAGACTGGGACTACTTGTGGGAGAGTTTACCTTCTTTTCCCTTCCCTTCTCTCCTAGACTGCATTGCTAAATCTTATCCAGTTCAGAAGTGCAAAGTAATTTGCCCTGTGAGAGCCAGCAGCAGGCAAAGTTAGCACAGCCCGTAGGGAGTTCAACAATGAACAAGAGCGTGCATGGGAGGGGATGAAAGGAAGCCTGGGGAGAAACTCAGAGGGAAAGACAGTCTGGAAAGTATTTTAGAGATTTTGCTTTGATGACCTCCTGTTTGCTGCCCAGCCAGCAGAGCTTGTGAAATTCCACACAGCAAGGGCATCGCAGGACCCACAAACAGACCCACTCTGCCACTGACATTTCCCAACTGGTGTTGCCATGTTTAGGTGTTGAAACAAATAGCTAAAAAAGCCTTTTAAACAGTCCTTGCTAGGAATATAGAGAAAAAGCTTAAAATGTAATAGACCCTTGAAAGACATAGATGTCCCCTTGAAACTGAATAGGCTAAAGCCACACTAAATAGGCAGTGGAGTAACAGGAGAGATGTCTGCTTGCCTTGTGCAGAACACTTTTGATTTACATTTGTGAAAAAAAAATATCAAAAGATCTCTTCCGTAAGACAGTGTTTCTCCTATATCAAATTCATGATCATACACAAGTTCTTGTCAGCAAATCATTCACGATCTTCTCAGATAACTTAATTTCTCAAACTGGAGTTAGATAAAATTTCTTCTCTTGTAGGCTTGCCACCTGTTAGTGCTATCTAACCCAAAGGTTAGAATCTTCTCGCTGCATCTACTTAATGCATTATTCAATATAATTTTCATATATCTATTCATTAATCTGTTCTTATTTATATTGATTTATTTATTATATGATTTGTCTATTCCATTTTTTATAAGATTCATTACTTCTCTGCTATTTACTGTGTGAAAACTTGCCTTTGTGAATGCAAGGATATGCTTCTCTGTATATTCTTCGTTCTCACTCCAGCTTTGGGAGTCAAAACATTTCAGTCCATAAGCTTTTGCAATAAAAAAAAACCCACAAAAAAACCTCTTGTGTCCTTCCACTCCACATTTCAACCGAACTGCAATATAGGTGTCAAGGATCCATACTTCCATGCATGGCCTCACTGGCACAGGGTGAGGGGGCAGATTGTCTGTGGACAGAGTAGAACATCAAAGTGAAATAGGCAGCTTGGAAAAACAGATCAGCCAGAGGATATGGGTGGAATGTCTTCAGGGACAGTGACAATCCTGTGGGTCTGACCAGGGCTCCATATGAAGGAAGCCCCAGCTGCAGTCACTCCAGAACAGTTTACAGGCTTTGATCCATGCTGCCCTCGAGGAAACTGATTGCAGGGCACGGTCCATACCTCAGGAAATAGCCAAAGTTGTCAGGTGTTTCTCTGAGATGCCACTGCCATTAGCTAGTAAGCCAAGTGAGGGCCAAATTTGGGTCACTACTGAGTAGAGCATGCCTGGGTGCTCTGCGCCTACCTCTGTTACCTTCCAGAAGTGCCATTTGCCCTTTGCAGGGTGGCAACTTGGGGGGAGACCACCAGGGCTCCGGCCAAGGTGCACTCACCATCTGGCTGTGCTGTAATGAAGGTAGCAGGCAGGGTCCTTTTCAAAACTGTTCTTTCCTCCACTATTCTTCTTGTGCTTGATCCCTGCTAGAGGTCCTGTTTCCAGGCTGTCAATGTGTGAGAAACCCTAATTCCCTGAAAGAGTCTCTAATTACAATAGCAAGAAATTCACATCCTTTCCACCATCAGGAGATGCTTTCTAACTTCCCGAGGAACTGAGGAGGAGCTAGCCTATGGAGATACACTGTCTTCATCTAGGCAACGTTGTTCTGGTTCTTCAACCAAAATGATTGATATATTTGGTCCAGAAAAGTACTGCATAGATGTCAAGAGCCAAAAGACAGTGTATAACAGAGATGGTGGATGGTGCTATGATGACAAAGTCACAGAGGTGTTTAGGCTGGAAGGGACTTCTTGAGATTATCTAATCCAATTTTCCTGCTCAAGCAGCGGCAGCTGAAGCAGGATATCTAGGAAAGTGTCTAGTCAGGTGTTTAATATCTCCTCAGGTGGAGATTCGACCACATTTCTGGACAACCTATCACACTGTTTGATCGCTCTCACAGTAAAAAGAAAACAAAAAAGTGTTTTCTTGTGCTTATATGGAATTCCTTGTGTTTCAATTTGTGCACATGGCCTCATCCTGTCAACGAGCACTGCTGAGAAGAGTCTGGCTCCCTTTTCTTCATTCCCTCTCATCAGGTATTTATATACACCAATAAGATCCCATCTGAGCCTTCTCTTTTCCAAGCTGAAGATTTTCAGCTGTCTCAGCCTCTCCTCATGTCAAAGATGCTCCATTAAAAATGACCTTGAGCATACAGCATGTAAGGTCATGTCTGACCTTCTACAGAGCCTTAACCCAAACCAAACAACCAACAACATTTGGGGCACCTTTTACAAAAAGCCATGCAGGCTTGATCCAAAGACAAACGTTGGTCAACTATAAAAGCCAATGTTACATATTTATATGATATCCTAATCAGAATTTATCTAACCTGCTGCTGAAGTTTCTCAACTACGAAAAAGAGTTTTTTAGTGCCTGATATATTTCTCCTCAGTCTTGCAGGGTTAATA